ATAGTTTTCAGATTTCAAAGCACAATCTTGGAAATTTGAATTGTTTTAGCTTTAAGGAAACACACGAGAAACCACCAAAAAGATAAAACTCGAGTTTTTGCAAGAAATTTGCCTTCGTCGTTTTCGTGTATTTTTACTGGTTTGAAAACTCTTCTACTTTTATAAACAGTTCCCTTTAATTTTTTTCCTGGTTGACTTTTATTGATCATTCGAATTGCGCTGGTTGAATAGCTTTTGTTCGTTGATGTGAGAGACCAGGTGTCATTCTAGTGTTTGTAACTCAACTTACTAACAGTTTCTAGTTTGTTTCGAAAAGTTACCCGAGTCAGATTCCATTCTTCTGTTTGTGTTGATCTGCTTGTTCTCTGAAATATGGTTTAGTTAGTTCATCAGGTATGCTGGCGTGTTGGAAGTCATCCTTTGAAATAGTAGAATTTATACTGTGTAGCTTCCTGCATTCTTATTGAGCTGGTTATGTTCATTTGCAACCTTTTATTGTTATTTTTGTTCAAGTTTTAGATTAAGCTGGACAATTTATAGTAGAGTCCCTATAGCTTTTTTAATCTTCCAGGTAAATGCTTCATCCAAATTTAGGCAACTCCAGCACTGCTTGTCAAAACCTTGGAAAAGTGATGCTTCACAAAAAAGAACTAATTAAACTTTATTTTAAAAGCTAGTTGGGGAAGCAGAGAAACTGTCTATCGATCAGGAAACACGAATAGAGTCTATGCTTTCTTTTGAGACAAAAAGTTCCTCTCTCCTCCTCTCTGAGGCAATCTAATCTGAAATAAAAGGAGGTAACCAAAAAACTGTGCACAAAACAATCTCAATAGCAGAATAAACGAAAAGACCTGCTGAATTAGAAAGTCCTATTGTGACTGCTTTTCGAAAAAAAAGTCTGAAAAAAAACTTTTTTTTTTCCAAAAAAAGAACAGAATCGGACAAAGCACGTTGAAATAAAGTTGAGAATACAGCAGAAAAAGGAACAAGAATGCTCGTATACTGAAAGTTCTGACTGCTTTCTAAGGTCTATGGTGCAGTAATAACAAGAAAAAGTTAAATTTAATAAAATAAAATGAACAATTTTTTTTAAATTGATTGTTTATGGCAAAAATCATCCCCCAAATGCCACTTAAACTGCAAAGTGATAGATTTTGCTCCTAGAAACAAATCAATTATGGTAAATAAAATCTCGTCAAACAGGCAAGTTAAAAAGTCAAAAACTGTCTGATGAAAAAAACCACCCGAGCACAAATATTCCGTTACTTTCGTTTCGAAAGTCGGAACAAAAAAAAAGCACGTATTCTACATTTTAACCCTGAAAAAGCAATTCAATTCGTATAGGCTTGAGTAAGGTTTCAATTTCTCTGATACAATAAGTCAGTTACTAAGCAACACTGCTTTGCTCGCAGTACAACGATTTCAAACTTAGACAAAATCAATCGTAATTTTAAAAGAAAATAGAACTCAACTCGCTTTCGAATAAATTATTAATCGTTGCAAAATATTTTCCTTATCAAGTTTGGAGCATTGAAACCAAAATGTCAGGTGAAGTACAAGGAAGTAATCCTTGTCCGTTTTTCTTACGTTTGCTTAACGATATACCTACTCAAAAATTAATGACTCAAAAAATTTGGCTATTCTAGGAAAAATGAAATATAAATTTTTACTATGACCCAGAATAATGGTTCTTTTTCCATTTTGATGAATGTAAAATAATAAGAATGAGTATTGTCAAAACATTGAGTTTTATATATTGTCAAAATAATAATAAGAATGAATTTTGTCAAAACCATCAAAACGTTGGCCATCATTTTTGGGCAATGCCAGTTTAACGAAAACTAGGCCTCTAAACTCGCCAAACAATACAAGGTTTTCCATCCCATGCGACAAACTTTCCAGTTCTTTCGCTTGTTGTCAAATGTTGATAGCCCTCGAAAACTATGAAGAATCAACAGCGCATCGTGCATTAGATAAAACAGAATACAATTGATAATTGCGTTGAAGGACCTCAGTTTTATTGTTCCGACTTCCGATACGAAAGTAACGGAATATTTGTGCCCGGGGTGGGTTTTTTTTTCTTCAGACAAATTTCGACTTTTTAGCTAGCCATTTTTGACGGAATTTTTTCAAGTCATTCAAAAGGTATTGTTGTCCTGAGCTTAAACTTGAAAAGATATTTCACCTGTGATCATTTTTCGTAAAAATATGAGGGTTTAAATATTGCCATTTTGAACAATTTGGGACAATTAACGAGCGATATAATTCGCGCTATTAAAGCGTAAGCGGAGATTTAATCCGTCTTATAAATCGTTCCAAATTGGTTGAACAAAGCTTATTTGCCATAATTGATTTGTTACAAGGAACGAAATCTCTCTTTTTGTACTTTATATGGCGTGTGGGGGGATGATTTTCATTAAAAATTTCAAATTTTAGAGAAAAAAATCATTTTATTTTATTTCATTTAATTTTTTTATGTTATTACTGCTGCTCCATAAACCCTAAAAGGCAGTCGGAACATTCAACGCTTCGCCCTGATACGAGCAGTCTTGTTACTGAGGTTTTGTTACACTTTTCAACGGATTCGTACAGATAGATATGCGTGTATTGTACCAAATCAGGAATCAGGAACATGAAAAACCTTAATAGTTTGCTGCCATATAAAATGAAATATTCACTAGATTAAGAATTGCAGTTCTTCTAAATCCAGTGAAGACAGAAAAAAAGTTCATATATTTTTTATCAGAACTCTAAAGACAGCCGACAATCAACTGAAACTGATTTTTTGTTTCTTCATTTAATATTTTTCAACATGCTTTATTAGATTGTTTTTAAACTATACACTGTTATCAGTTCGGATTTTAACCTTTTTTAAAGTTTGTAATGATTTAAAATAATTTCTACTAGAATATTTGTCGGTAGCGACTTATTGTTCCGACTTTCGATACGAAAGTATTGGAATATTTGTGCTCGGGGTGGGTTTTTTTTAGATTTTATATCATTCAAAAGATATTGTTGTCCTGAGCTTAAATTTGAGAAGATATTTCACCTGTGATCATTTTTCGTAGAGTTATGAGGGTTTAAAGCTTGCCATTTTGGCCATTTTGACCAATTTGGGACAATTAACGCCTGATATAATTCGAGCTATTAACGCGTATTAACGCTATTAACGCGTTCCAAATTGGTTGAAAGAAGCTTATTTGCCATAATTGGTTTGTTTCAAGGAACGAAATCTATTCTTTTGTACTAAAACAATTCAAATTAAAAAAAATCATTTTATTTTATTTCAATTAATTTTTTATAGTTATTACTGCTCCATAAACCTTAAAAGGCAGTCGGAACACTCAGGGCTTCGCCCTGATACGAGCAATCTTGTTAGCATTTGTGAGGATTAGCACGCCAGTGTTAAACAATGAAACTTGAAAACTCGCGTTTGTCTACTCCAATTTGCGTTTTTCATCAGCGGATATTTGACCAAATTTATAACATTAGCGTGCATTTGGCCTAGCTAAAAACTTAGCTGAATATATTGAAACTTTACTTTCATAACAAATCAAATGGTTTCCGAGATAATTGTTCAAACTTTCGAAGAAAGTGAGGAACATATATTCTTTGATTTTTTTTGTTCAGGACAGTTTCACAAAAGTCTTGTCTCTCGGGGATCAATCTATTAATCTGCTTAATCTGCATGCTGCCAGCCGAGTTGCTCACCACTTCAGTAACCTTCCATGAGTATGGCTTAAGCTGCTTGTGATATTATCTCGAACTACAAAATTCTTCCAAGTTGAGTTGAGGTAGCTAACTGGTTTTACTAACTCCATACACGACTGAAATTGCAACAAATAATTTTTGATGTTTTCATCCTAAAACTCTTTTTTTTTGCCAATATTTAAAATACCAAAAGCTATCCGAGACCAATTAAAAGGCAGCCAAAAAATTCAGGGCTTTGCCCTGGTGCAAGCAGTTTTGTTTGAAAATATAGGCAAACTTATTTTTTTGGGGTCTGAATGCACGCACAATTGAAACAATTATTGCATGCTAAAATGGCACACACGCTACCTGCTAGGTACGCTCCCATAGTGGCTCCCAGCAATAAGAAAGGATGAGTTTCTCATACAACAATTAATCAATGCTGGATTCTCATTCTGTTGTAACTTTAGGTGAACAAACTTTGCGTGTTTCAGCTGGCTGTTTTTTTTCCACTTCATTTCAATGTTTTTGGTAATTGGTAACTAAAATTTCAACGCTGAAACAAACATTTTTCTTTTTCTTTTTCTATCAGAAAATCAGAAGAAATTAAATTAACCGTTTTCTGCATTTGCTCATTTGTTGTTTTCATAGTACTTTCCTAGGTCTAAATTGGATCATTTCAGGAGCGTACTTGGGGGGGAGGGGGAGGAGGTGGGGGAGCGGGGGGAGGTGAGGGCGCCCTTATCGTTTCAGGGATTCGATTCCCTGCCGACCCATAGCATCCCCCTTAGTACTATTTTAAGATATATATTTTTGGGTGAACGACCCTCCTAGAAACTTTCTAAGGGCACCGTTGACGCCATTATATACTATATTTGAATGGGAGCGCGCGTCAAAAAACCATATTTTTTGGACAAAAATTTTTAATTCGGGAGTGCTCAGAAACTCAACTTGGTCGACCTAAAAAAAGGCAGACAAATTAACGAAAACTTTTTGTAAATGTGTCACAGTTTTTCAAACAAACTTTGAGCAATTTAAAAAGGAAAATATAAAACAATCAAACCGTTCAAACTGTGCTATAAAAGCCGCTTTAAAACTAATTAATTCATGCAGCGGTATTTTAACAAATTGAAAACCACGATTTTCATCCCTGCAGCCAAAAATTGTATTTCTTCGAGTCGACTATGCTTGTTTTTTTTTCATATGACAAGATTGCATGTGGCCCTATCGGTTCACTATGTGGTTAAGGAGCCTTTGGAGATACGACATTTATTAGCAAATATAAAATCTAATTAAAATAAATGGTGAATCAAATTATTAGTTTATCTAGTTTTCGCAAGTTTTGAAAGTGAAAGAAGCTAGGTGGCAAGAATCACTCTAAAATAAGGTCGACGAATACTGCTCTGAGAGCTGAATGACAGAAGCTTAGAATTTAGAATGCCCAAAATAGCGCCGCTGAGTTTCGAAAAATGGTTCACGAGAACGAATTTATCTTTTTCGTCGCCTGGTATGAAACATTGCCATCGTGTATCATGATAGACATCCTTTGTTCCGACTTGTTCCGAATAAAGATTTATTTCATTGACCAGTCTTCAAAAATTCTTCGGCATGTTAGCCAGACCATTAAGTACAACTTCTCCGATGGGTCAAGGTTCGAAACTGAAGTCACTAAAGGGAGAAATGAAACAGAAAAAGTAGAAGCTTGAATAGATGAGCTAGAATTGGATTGATATTAGGCAAGAAGGTGGCTTGGATCCAGCAAGAGCCAAAGAGTAAAATCGTATTTATAAAGTTTTCACGCCGTTTTTGGTTGCATCAGTTGAACAAAACCTTCTTGGCTCTTTCGAATAAATTGGTTCCGTTGTTGGCCATAGCGCAATTGCACTCTTGTGTCAAGTTTATGGAAGTCCAGTAAGTCTTCTGATCTGGACATATCATTTCGATGCGTTTCGTTAGACTTCTTCCGGGTACACATGTGGATTGTTTCCCGTTTGGACCCAAGGGGTTGCGACCTTGGTAGATAACATTGTAGTAGTCAGCAGAGAACGGCACCTATGACAAGGCAAAAGTTACTTCTAAGGAAACAATTTCCCGCGCATTGAGAAAAAAAGAAGAAAAAAGGGCAATTTTTGTTCAGACCATTTGAAAAATGGGAAGAAACTTTGTGTTCGGGTGTTTTAGTTTTTTGTTCTTTTTTTGTTTCCGCGCAAAATCGGCTGCAAATAAACATCGAAGAGAGTAGAATGATACAACATACTAAAGCCGTTAAAATTTCAAAATTTTTTTCCAAGTGTTGAGGAAAACCGGTCTGAATTTTTGTTTTTTTCGCCCTAATTCGAGCGAATAAAGCGAGCGAGCTTACTTCAATAGCTTATTTCAATAGCTTAAAAGCTTACAATAGCTTAATTCAAAATGTAAAAACCTAGTTTTATTCGGGCAACGTTAGTTTTTTGAGTATTTTAGCGGCTTATGGAATCAAAAATTCAAAAAACTGAAAAAAAATTATTGAATTAAGAAAAAAGCTTTCGTTTTTCTACAAAAATTTTTTTTAACTTGTTTATTTTACTATGAATGTCAAATATGTCGATTTTCCAGTTTTCTTTCAGCTCCTTTTATCTCACCACGCCGAAAAAACTACACTAATTTCAAAAAACTTTTTAGTTGTATTTTTTAAGACTATGGTCGGAACATTCTGTGCTACTTGCACAGTAACCGGCTATCCTTGTTCATAAATTGTTAATAACCGGCCTAATTTTTCACGCTAACAATTAAGGACAGAGATTTAAGTGTGAAAAACCCTCCCCTCTCCTCTCCCCTCCTCTGTCAGGTATTCAACCTCCTTAATAGCTTTTTGATACCCTTTTAGGCCAAATATTTTTTGTCGGCTAGTCCTTAAGTTTACTATTAATATTATTAATCAATATTAATTTGGAAGTATGTGAATGGAAAGCAAAAAGGGTTCAAAAAGTTGCCTAAACTGTGTTTTCGTTCGATGGCTCAAAACTTTTGACAAAAAGAAATTTATCAAAATTTTATTCATTATAAAAATTAATCTCTTTTTCAGGTACTTTAAAATTGAAAGATATTTTCTGATGAAACCTGAAATAGTATTAATTGTCTGAAATGTGTTTCTTACCTGCAAACATATTCCGGAACATACAACTTCGCTGACTAAATATCTGGAAGTGCATTCATTGTGTTGTATGCGTCCAAATGCGATGTAGTGGGGACATTCGAAGGGGTGGTTTGGATGATACAATTCCAGAAAATTAGCGGGAGATTCGTGAATTGGTAAGTCTGAAATAAAAAATAATAAATTTGATTCCACGAAGCTCCAAATGGATCAAAATAATAACTTGATGAATCATGAGAACCTTTCTTTATCTTAATAACTTGATAAACTAAATAAAACTGAGTAAAAAAAGCAGCTGGTTGCTCGACAAAAGCATCAAATAATCCGACAGCAGTAATTATTATAAAATACAATTTTTTTAAAAAAAAAGGTACTTTTCCAATTAATTTTTGGACGTTTTTGGCTGTTTGGACACGTTTGTCGTAAGTAACGCATGCATAAGACGGAAAAAACGGATGAGGTCAAAGTCGTAGAATAAAGATCGTGCATCCAACTTTTTCCATGGTTCCAACATCCGTATAGTATGAAAAACGAAAAAAAATCAGACTGGTGATTTTTAACACTGAAATAATTTCACGAACAAGTTTTTTAGAAGCTCACTTATTGCTCTGATCACGAAATGGGAAAGAAATTGCATTTGCGAGTGTTTTTTGTTGTTATTTTTGTGTTTTTTTTCTGACATTTTATCGATGGATTGACAAGTGCTACAAAAAACTTTCTCGAATGATATATCATACAAGAGTCCTTACCAGAATTTCCAGCACACTTCCTTTTAAGACCATTTTAGAAAGAAAAAATCATTACCAGGCTAAATTTTGGAAAAGTAACAGTGAAAGGGAGCGAGAGGTAGGCAGAGAGAGCAAGAGAGAAAGAGATAGAGAGAGAGAGAGAGAGGGAGAGAGAGAGCGAGAGAGCGAGAGAGTGAGAGAGAAAGAGCGAGAGAGGATAGAGAAGAGGGAGGGATTTCAGAACAGAGCTTTCTTTCATTTTTTTTTCTTCCAATGTAAAAATCAATGTATCATATTCCTAAGCAAAGGCGAGACTGGCGCATAATTCGCAAATATTTTTACACGGGATCCACTAACCGTTATTAAGTTTACCTAATAAAAGAAATTACTCCAGTTGATCAGACACCACAAAAATATAATAAGCATATATATATATATATATATATATATATATATATATATATATATATATATATATATATATATATATGCTTACTATTGTCTTATAATGTCTGATCAACTGAAGATTTTTTACGCGGGATCCACTAACAGTTATTAAATTTTCCTAAAAAAAAGATATAATTTCTGCTTCAGGGTCCACAAACTGTGATTCACTCCAGATTACTCCACAATCTGTGATCCACTCAAGATTACATACTTATATAGTTCAGCAGATTACACACTTATTATGCTTTTCAGATTTCATCAACCAATTGGGTACCTATATTTGAAGCCCGCAGCACTCATTAAAAACGACCATCTTAAAAAATAATCTTAAAAGAAAAAAAAATCATGAGTGACGAACAGAAGATTTTCTTTAGTTTTTGTTTAAATTTGTTCTATGAATGTGGTTGGTAGTTGGAACAGCTTATGATACTAACACAGCAACCAGTATTTCTTTTTTTTTAATAATATTTTCTCTCCAAGCAATTAGAAATGAAAAATTGCAGTTCAAATAATTTTAGTTTGATTTTCAACCAATTAAACAATTTAAAAGAAATCTACCCAAAAAAAAATAAAAGTTTTTTTTAAATTTCACTAAAAATTTAACAAATTTTATGATTGCTTATATGCTTAGAGAAAAATTAAGCGCGAGCATACGTATATAAACAAAAAAGAAACAAACTGAATACAAACAGCTGGTTTTTGTTCAAGTAGATCACAATTTACTACCATTTTTAAAATGAAAAGATGATCACCTTTTGTTTTCAAACTTTTTCAATATTTTTTCTAGGTAAAAGGCAAGGAATCAAATGAGGCTTCAGCTGTAGAGCAATTTTTGTTTATGGAACTGATATATCAGTTGGAATGGACGATCAAAAAGATGGACAATTTTGGTCTCCTTACTATAAACTTTTTTAAACTTTTTTAAATTAGCATCGCCCAAACGTCTTCATACTCAAAATTATTTTTTTTTTGCTACGCTTTATTTTTTTTAATTGCTCAGCTATGTCTTGAAATTTTAGCTCGTTGTTTTAATTGAGAAGAGAAAAAAGTCAAAAAAGAGTTGGTCGTCGAAAAAAATCCAACTATTGTCCTTGGTTATAGTCTTTTCAAGTGCTTGAGTCTACATGTCAACTAAAAAATAAAAATGTTGTTTAAAAAGTCCGTTAAAAAGCTATTATACATATTAAAATAGGTTTAGCTAAATGATTTCAGGTCTTAAAAAGACGCAGTGGAATAACTGCAAAAAGCCGAGTCAAAGCTTCTCATCGCAGTCGAGCGTATATTGCAAACGACAATTTGGGTAAAGCGAAAATTCGCCGCAATCTGACAGTTGCGGCGAATTTTTGCTTGCCACAAATTGTCGCAAACCAATTCTATCAAGATTATTTGCTGAATGGTTCCGTTTTTGATATGCTCGCAACCAATTGTATTCAGAGCAATTATTTGCAAATTTTTAATTCATTTCAGCCAAGCGCAAGAGCACAATATATAAATTTTTGGTACTCATGAAAATGCGAGCAAAAAAACATCAATTTTTTTTGGGAATAGGCTAACTGAAATTTCCTAGCCAAAAAATGATACAGTTGTGATAGATAGATCCCAAGAAACTAACAGGGTTTGTACTGTAAACACTGGGGGTAAACGTTAATTAAAATAGTCCTTCGGTCATCTGAGTTCTAGCATCAAATAAGTTAGCCCATATGAGGCAGCCTCAATACATTTAAAAAAAGTTTTTTAAACTATGGAGCGGCGACCATTATTTTAACTAATTGCTATACTTGCTTAGAATTAGCAAAGTTTGGGAACCTTTTGCCACTATTGGTTATTACTGGGACCTCGTTTTCGCAATTTCGATCCAAAAATATTTTGACCAGATATTCGAGCAGAAAATTGACGATTTGAGCAGAAATTTGATTAGGGTCAAATTTGAGCGTAAAAAGATATTTTGGTTATACAATTTGCGCATTTATTTGTACTAACGTTTGGAATTGGTGTACAATTTTTTCGATTTTTCAAAATTGGGTTCTAAAAGGAAAGTGACCACCCTTACGCAGGGGTGGACTTAGGGGGGAGGGGGAGTAGACGTTTTTTTCCTCAAAGGTTTCGACCACCTCACCAGCTATAGGGCCCCCATTTGGTGTTATTTTATGACGTCTATTTTCGCCCGAACAACCCTACAGTTTTTCTAAGGGACAAAAAAACTGCAATTTTGGCCTACGTTGTAAAAAATGCCTGCAGCTCAGGAAACTTGGTAAAAATAGGGCCTTGCCGCACCGAGCGCCCATCGATCACAATCGATTATTTTGTCATAAAATGGTTAGTATCTATAAATTTTCAAAATAATCGATTATAATCCAATAAAAATGGATTATAATCTTTATATTTTTTATGCCAATATAATCCATGATAATCGATTATAATCTATTTTAATGGATTTTTTCGAGACGTTATTCATGAAATTTACAACTATTTTCATAGTTATCTCATTTCCTGTTTAGTTCAGTTGCTACGTACGTTTCATAAAATGTTGCATTTCACATTAAATGTATCCCCCGTTTACTTTACCACCCAAGCTGCCAGATGTTTACTTTAACACCCCTCCCCCCTCCCCGTTTACCTCCTGCCAGGTTACCACAACTGCCATTCCCCCCCCCCCCCACCTTAAAGTTGGACTCGGGAGTGGGGGGAAGGGGTTAATTAATTGGTTGATTTTGGGAAGGGGGTTAATGATTGACACCCCCAATTGGGGGGAGGTAAAAAAAACTTGAGTGGGTGACGTTGAGACACGGCTTTGAGAAAAAGGAATAACACACTTTTTGCAAGTTTCCTGCAAAATTAATCGAATTGAGTTCTTAAAATAAAATGGATTATAATCAATTATAATGGATTATAATGGATTTTATTCTAAAAATAATCGATTATATTGGATTATCTAGGCAAAAATAATCGATTTCAGTGCCAAAAATAATGGATAAGAATCGATTTTAATGGATTATAATGGATAATTTTTTTAAACAATAATCGATTATAATGGCAACATAATTGATTTCGTGGTCTGAATTTTACATCTGTTGTGAATTATAATGGACCAGGGGCGGATTTAGGGGGGGCGGTTGCCTTTCCCCTCAGGGATTCGACCCCTTCCGACCCAAAGGGTCCCCCCTTTGGAACTTATTAAGAAATCCATTTTGGGCCGACCGACCCTAAAATTTTTCTAAATTACAATATATTCTAATTTTGAGGGGAGAGCGGGCGCCGAAAAAAACGCGATTTTTTGGTCAAAATTTTCCAAAATGAGCCTAAAATTCTGTTTTTGGACCGTTTTTTCAAAAATTTTCCTGCGGCGCAGAAAATTTGGCCCCTAAATAGGCACTAAACCGTGCTTACGGATAGCTCGAAAAATCAATTCGGTTGACCTAAAAAAAAGGTCGACAAAAAGGTCGACAAAAAGGTCGACAAAAAAGGTCGACAAAAAAAGGTCGACAAAAAAAAGATCGGGAATCCATTATAATCGATTAGAATCCATGGGCGCTCGGTGCGGGTTTATAGTGACTTAGTAGAGCTCGGAAAATCATTTTGGTCGACCTAAGAAACGTCGACAAAATCCCACCTCTTGAGAAAATCCTAGATCTATCCCTGCCCTTACGTATAATTATGCTTGGTGCAGCAGCTTCAAAAAAGCGTTTTTTTTTGCCAAAGTGTCACCAAAACGCGATTTTTATGTCCATTTTAAATATCAAATTAACTTACATAAAGAAGTGGTTTGATGTGATAAGAGACCCAACGTCAAAACCCAATGTAAACAGATTTCCATCGTCAAATTAAACTCCAATGAATTGCCCATTGAATTTTTAAAAATAACACAAATTAATTGCAGTAAGGAGGTGTTTAAACGACAATGTACTATGAATATAACCTGAAAAGTGAAAAAAGAAAAATATTATAAGCTGATATAAAGGTCTGAAGCTTCATAATATTGCATCGACACGTGTATGATTAAATGATAATCAAGTTTATTTTGAAAATTTCTTAAAAATTGATTGAAACAAAAACCAAAGCGGATAATAACATTGAAAATTTCTCAAAATTGATATTTCATTAAATCTAATCGTCGTTGAGTAACGGATAGTTTCGTTCTGTTGTTTACTGTAATCTGGTAGCCGAGTCGTAAATTCGTTTCCAATAATATATCTGTTCTAACTGGTCGTAAAGTGGGGGGTTTTCTGTGCTTAGGAGCGTAGGTGATTATCGTCAATTTTATCACAGCATGGTGCTAATCGATGTCAATACTTGAAAACTTTTCACAATCATATGATACTTGTTTTGAAAAAGTATTTGGCAAAATTTGTAAGCGTAAAAAATCGAATGAGGTCTTTTTCTCGCAAAAAAAAAAACAGTTGAAGGTTAAGAAAGTGAAAGGTGAAAGAAACATAAATGAATAAAATATATATTTTTTGTAGTAAAAAGTCAGATTTCTAATTAGTGAACATGAAACACGTGAAGTGAAACTTTATATCGTACCGTAATCAATATCGGCGTCGGGAATCAGTGATTCAATTAAGATGAGAGCGTTTATTTTTTAAAGGGACACGCTGAAAAGGTGTAGATCAGTTTTAACTTTATAATTTTAACTAACAGTTTAACTTGTCAGAAGGAAAAGAAAAGATAAAGTAATAGTATAAACTGTGTTATTTTGGTTTGAGGGGAAACCCCCACTCTAAGTCCAAACGCCGGCCGTTTTCCCTTTTTCTTTATCTCGTTTCCTTACTCCCGTTTTGGGCATAATTGCTGCTCTGTTTTTTCAACTATTGTTCCATGAATACGCATCTAAAATGTGGCATTGGTCAGATAGACTTAACGGCAGACAATGACAAGTCTAAACCAATAGTGACACTAACACATTTAAATATAAAAAATTATAGTAAGTTCTTGAAAAAGTCGTTACCTGAAATTTGATTTACCGGAGATTTCCGGTAAAGATTTTTTCAATAACTTAATTTTCTTATGTTTAAATGTGTTGTTTAGCCATTGTGATAATGCGTTATTGTTAAAACGCGTAAATGCGTTAATGTGTAGTCTTTGAAGTGGTCCTTTAAGGGGTTGAAGTTCTTCACGAGGTACCATAGAGGGGCGGGGGGGGGTTGGGGGGGGTGGTAGTTGACAAGATCGTGGTTTTTTTCAAAAACTAATAACGAAACGTACTCGCTCAATTCTAAACCTTCACAGTTATGCTCCGTAAAATTTGGCTTATAATTTCTGCTTGGCACTGCGGTTTGGGGATTGCACCTCGTTAAACATAACTTCCCTCGGCTTTTTATGATCTAGAGTTGAAAGATGATTGTTTCACAGAAAGTTTCTAAGAAGAGATTACTTGTTGTGCTTCTCAGGAAAGATCGAGAGTTGTGTCCTAAAATGATAGTTTTCTTAGACTTCATCCTCGTCAATTTTCAAAAGAACTCGTCAAACAACGTGAGAGCTTGATTTTTGGCAATTTTTTTCATTCGAGCTTACAGTTTAATTTTTAAATGATCGCTGCTGCTTTAAGAAAAAAAAATGTGGAGTTAATGTGGATGGAATTTCCTTAGGTTTAAAAAATGTAGTATATGTCGACTAATAAACATGTCGCATGAATCAATCGGAACGAAATTTTAGTTTCAAATTATCTTCGACTAAATGAAGCAAAGGATTGCCCGCAATCACGATGATTGTCGCAAAATAAACAAAATTAACAAAAGTTAAATTGACACTCGGGTGTTGTAGCTCTTTGAGATGTTTTTTCTTTTGATAACTTTTAACCTGATTCCATAACAGCTAAGAGTTCATCGATCTTTTATAAGATGCATCGTATTATCTTGTCCAATCTGAGGACAAAGTTTTCATTTAACAACCGTCTTCCTCCCTTCCTTCCGTTGCTAGATTCGAAGTGCCTTTATATTCATTTGGTTGCCTCCGAAGACATGATATAGATTTAATATAATAAGTAGAGGATAAATTATCATAATCGCACAGAAGTCTTAAGCATTTATCTATAATTTCAAACTCCCATGTTGTTTGTTTTCCCATGTTCCTCGTACTATTATAATGCCTCGGTCTAGAATTATTAATTTCCGGGAGCACGATGGCTCAGCAAAGTGAGAAGGGGAGAGTCGGTAGGGGTGGGGGGTGGGGTGGGGGGATTTTAGCCAACTTGGTTGCTATCGAGAGTTTTGATAGTGTTGGTGATTTAAGTTCGGATAGAGGCTGTAAAATGAGGTTTAATTCGATTGCTAAGCAATAAGCTTGAGTACTGGAGGCGGGCAAAAAGAGGTCATTAGACAATCGGCCCAGAATAACGTAGACAGAATAACGGGCTTTTGTTCAAGTTCAGCCTTAAGTTGCAATAAGATACATTCAGAGTCAGTTTTTGATTTTAATGAAGTTTATAAATCTTATTGTTCCCACCACTTCACTTCTCAGGAAAACTCGTAGGCATTGAGTCTGGTATCACATTTAACACTATTGGTCGTGATTTGGATTCAAAAGAATCAAAAAGTTTATTTTAGTGTCGAGAAAAAATCAAAATCAAATCTAGCATTAAACTAGTAAACTACCAAAAACTCTGACCTATTTTTCTCGCCACATACATAATTGTCTTTACAGAACCCATGTAACCACGGAAACGTCTATGATATCATTTAGCAACCTTTCTTTGGAGTTACAAGTAGCTCAGATCACGTGAAAAGGTCCTCTCTAGGCAAATTGAACTACTTGTTGGGGAGTCCTCCTGCAATGAAACTGCAATAGGAAAGATGCCAAAGGTCCAACCCAAAATCATAAGTAAACTATTTCGGATCTTGTTAACTATCCCCCCTTCTGTGGTACCTTGTGACGAATTGGCCCCCCTAGAAAGAAAGAATTGAACAGTTAAGCTTAAACGAATTTTGTACCTTGAACCGAATTGGCCCCTATTGCACTAGGGGTGAAATATTTAACAAGATCAACAATTTCTTCAAAAATATATACAAAACGTATGATGTAAAACTGATTTATTTGTTTTGAATACTAGCAATTACATGAGCGCCTGTCAATCAATCATCAAACAAATATGATTGATTTGATGAAATATGCTTCTTCTATCTCAATTTGAACCCAATTACCCTATATCAACAGAAAATCGAGTGAATTGAAAATAGTTAGTAATTGAGTGAACTGACTTGACCAGCCAGACATATTAATGTGTCTGTCTGGAGTAATAAAATAAGTAAGTCAACAACCGTCTGCTATCAGATGGGTCAGTAAAAGCAGTGCAGCTCTAAATCAAAATACTTTATTTAGCAGAAAAAGTTCTTCAAAAACACTTAGTTACAAATTCTTTTGTCAATAAGGATTTTTTTCGTATCTGATGTCCCTGAGCTTACAAGTGAACGGAAAGGACCAAGTGAACAATTTCTTCCTAAGTATATTTAAACCTCCCCCTAAATCATGTAAACAACCACCACCCCCCCCCCCCCCCCCCCTGAATCAGAGAGATCGTTAACTTTGATCGTTGGCTTCTTTTTCAGCAAATCAGAATTCAAAATTTTGCATGTTGGCTTTGCTGTTAAATTCAACTTTTTAGGGGGTGGGGGGGGGGGCAATCATTCATTTGGTTAGTTTAGGGGGAGGGGAAATGTTTTTACTTGGGCCAAAGCAAAATTAAAACCTATGCCTGCTTAATTTTAGACTTTCGGCTGATAAGCTATTAGGTTCTTCGAATCTGATTGAATCATAGTAGATGTCTGATAGCTTCATGCGACTTATTGTGGTCTTTAACGTAACAATAGGACCATAACAGAGGTGCTACACCTTTTTGTTTACAACACTACTGTGATTGGAGGAATATCTCGTGCAGTTTTGTTTTGACATGAAAATTATATCTGGCAAGACTAAATCCAGGGTCCCCACATCAATTGTACATTTGTACCTGTCAAAAGTATATAAAATCATTGGTTGATCAAGCTGTCATTGTTCGAGCTGAAAGTCTGCGCATAATACGTTAACATAATCAAATTGATGCTTGTTTTCCTGGGCAAGTTAATCGGGATCTCTTTAACTATCCCCCCCCCCCCCCCACTAGGGTACCTAGTAACGAATTGCCACCCATATAGAGAATTAATTCAATGGTTAAGCATTTGCGAATTTTGTATTTATTTGAATTATGTACTTAGCAACGAGTGCAGTGGGCAGTGGGATAGTTTGAGAGATCCGACAATCGCGGTGAAAGCTTAGAGAAAGAAGGATAAACAAACCAATTGTTCAGAAATACGTCTCTTTTACGGTTGCGTTTTTCCTGGACCAGTTGTTCTATTTGATGTTTTCATGATCATGAAAGTTTTACACTGAAAACAAAAAGGAGGCTTGCAAATTTGGACAAGTGCAAGCCGAAGGTGTGTAGGATTTTCGGATCTACTTAACAATGCCCCCCCCCGTAAGATATCCTAACCCTAAGGTACCTACTTAAGAATCTCCACCCCTATAAATAAATGGTGTCCTACAATTTAATGACATACGATTTAACACCGTACATTTTAACACTTAGTCATTTCACTATTAAACAATTTGGCTCTTTTCCAGTTTCCCCCCTTTCAAAATACCGAGTTTTATGTTTGTTTTACGTGTTATTACGGCTAAATGCGTGATGTTACGCTGTAGAGTATGAAGAACAAATCAGTTCAAAATTGTCGATTTGTTCACCATGCCAAGTTTCCTTGCATTATGACAACGTTAAATAGACTTTTCACAATTGAATTTGAAAGAGGGGAACTGGAAAAGAGCCAACAATTTAAATCGACAACAATATTTTCCAGTTTAACACAGTACATTTTAACACCTAGTCATTTCACTATTAAAATTATTGCTGTATGAATTCCTTATCTTAACTCTTATCACACCAAAGTTAATCCTCCAATTAACACACGCACCTTAATGAAAAACTTGGTTTATCTTAGTTATACATGCTAAAAGGAGGCTTCCTAATTTACTTAGGGCTCTTAACCACAAGTTTGTAATTTGTTTTAAATTAGATTTTTCGGTAAACCATTATGATTACTAAAAAAAGCTGCTTGTGCTAATTCATAACAATTTGAATTTGACGTAACAATTCTGACAAAAATTAAATTCTGACAGTCACTTTATACTTTACTCAAGTGATGAACAAACGCAAACACAATAAACACTTTATGATTGAGTCTTCTTTCGAGTTCACAGTTTCATCTAAAAACAAGCCAATTCATATAGCGTCCGGCCATGAATTTTATTTCAAACGAAAAAATAAAATTACAGAAAACTGGATTTGCTCAAAATATCAAACATATAAATGTCGAGCAACTGCCATTGCTGAAAATAACGAATTAATAGATGGTGGAGAGCATAATCACGATATTTCAGCGGGAAAATTGGAGGCTCGAAATGTCATACAGCATATAAAAGATCTCAGCGAGAGATTTACCCAGACTGTTGCAGTTGCCAGTGCGGTTTTGCCTATTACAAACGATTTGGCCATTCAGTTTGCCCTCCCAAGTAAAGATCTATTCCGGGAGTCTGCAAGGAATTGTCTTTTCAAAAAAAGCTGACTTAATTTCAGTAGAATTAAACTTTGAATTTTAATACTACTAAAAAGTTAACAAAAATGAAACAAAATTTACAAT